ATTTCTCACCACAACTAGGAATTTCTCGTCTTGATCGCAGAGGATATATGGCACCTGAATATGCACTGTGTGGTTAGCTGACGGACTAAGCGGACGTGTATAGCTTTGGAGTTGTGGCTTTGGAAATTGTCAGTGGCAAAAGCAACAGTAATTACATGCCAAACCACAATTTCATTTGCCTTTTGGATTGGGTACTAAAAACATCCTTCACCTCTTCATTTCATTATACATACTTCCATTATCTATACCACATTTCCTTAATAACTTGCAAAATTGTTGCACACTGTTTCAATGCTACATAATTGTATTGCAGGCTTCTCACTTGCAAGAAAGTAAAAACATAGACGAACTTGTTGATCCGATGTTGGGTTTTCGAGTTAACAAAGAGGAAGTAGGAAGAATGGTGAAAATAGCTCTCCTGTGTACCAACATAACGCCGTCCGTCAGGCCTACAATGTCCGAGGTAGTTCAAATGCTTGAAGGACAAATGGCGATTCCAGATGTTCTCACGATAGGAAGTATGTATACAGATGATATGAGGTTTAAAACCATGAAAGACTTCAATCGGGAGAAGCAAAGCGGAAGTTCCAATGGAAGCCAAACTCAGAATTCAACAACAATACGAACAGATGCAGATTTTTCTTCATCTACCACTGATCTTTACGAAACCACTAGAGATACGATATCATATTGAGGAATCGTGACTATTTTGAGTCTGGGAGAATTGTTTGTGTAAAAATACTAGGAATTTTTTCTTTCTCAGGATTTTTTTTTAATTATTATTATAGTAAAAGAAAGCTCACATTGATATGCACGATCTCTAAACTAGCCCGTGTTTGGTTTAGATTAAGATAAATAAAAATTTCAAGTCAATGTCAACAATTAATTTTAATCATACATTTTAGAGTAATACTATTTATCATCACGATGATGGAACAACGAAGATGTGGTAATTCATTATCCCTCACATTTATCCATCTCATAAAAATTGAATCGTCCAATCTCATTATTGCACATAGATTGTCACATCATCAATGTTTCATTATCATAATGATAAATAACATTATTCTACATTTGAATTAACAATTTTTCAATCACTCATTTCATCAACTTTTATTAAAATATACTGAAAAATTGATTTTAATATATACCAAACAAGAGCTATATATTAAAATGGTGTAATTTTGGTTTAGTGTAAAATTCTATTCCTTTCTTTTAGCTTTTGAAATTAATGTTTTATTTTTCTCTATTTCTTAAACTGATATTTGCCCTTAAAATTTGAAAAAATGATCTTTGTTTGAGCAGGGGCGGATTCACGAAGAAATTTAAGACGGGCTAATATGCAAAAAAAAAAAAGTTTTACAGGTAAAAAAATTGTTTTTACTTAATTTTTTTTAAGGTGAATTGGGCTACCGCCCGTCCCTCCTAGATCCGTCAATGTGTTTGAGAGTATTGCACCCTTGAACATACATATTATCGTAATGTTGGGTTTTAATACCAAATAAATCTCTGGTGATGATATTAAATTTGATTGGATTAATTATGTCAACACCATATTAATTAGTTTGACCCGAAAAACAATTTGGGCCAATGGAGGCAGCTTAATGAATTAAGGTTGCTCATGGCCTAATTGAATTGTGGATGGCCCTTTCATGTATTGTCCCATTTATTTACCTATTCTTAAAACCTATTAATAAGCCTTTGTTTTCGAATTAACTATGCTATTGCAAGAGCAAAGAGGTGGCTTACTTTTTGTACTCTCTCCTTTGTGCTTGTGGTTGCAATTAAACACCAAAATTGTGTCATTTGTGGAGGCAAGAAAGTAGGCAGCCGAAGTGAGTAGGGTTGTGGGTTCAAGCAATCATTTAGTTGGTATTTGATTATTTATTAGTTTAAACTGAGCCTAGTTTGGACACGATTCGAAATACTTCTGTGACACAATGTATCAGAGCTTGACTTTAGTGGTCTTGGCGTGTGAAATTTGTGTGAAACTTTAATTTTCGTCCAAACCAATTGTCGTCTATGTGAATAGAGGCTATATCTCAATTCAGGACGATGAGGTGCACCCGGCTAGCCAACACCGACGCATCTGGTGCGTAGAGCTGTGGAGTAGGCTGCTCATGAAGGCCACACGAGGAGACGGTGACGTGCGTATAGGTGCGTGGGTGAGATTTCGGCGACTGTCTTCAAAGACAGAACATTCCCGGTGTTTTTTTTTTCAGTTTTGGGCAATGTTTTGGTTCTAGATCGTTTTAACCTTGGACGTTCGAGTTCCAAATTTTGCTTCATTGGTTGTTGCACTTGCTGGAAGTTTTAGGGCAAGTAGTGGCTGCCCTAAATCGATAAATTCGCATCTCTTCTTATTTACTGACCTACAGATTCAGTCTATTGATGAATTAGCTTATAATTTTTAAATTTCAGTACTAACAGGTCATCGTGTGAATTGACCATTAGGATTGATGTTACCATGTGGGGGTAACCATTGCCTATTGCTAGAATCTAGGAATTGTTTGCCATATTTTAAGTGCTAAATTTGATTGTTGAAAGTTGATAACTTTATTCTTTATTGTAATTGTCATTAAGTTATTGTATGAGACTTACATTGTGTTAAAATTGCTTTGTTAACATACTCTCTTCGTTGCATCGATTATTCGGTTAGAAAACCTATAGTTTACCCGTTTGACCACTTCCTTGATATGAGGTCAGGAATCTCACGAAATCCTGAGAATCTATAACGTTGTATATTGTGACCTTAGGACTACTTGTGCGACCTAATTGTGCATTATTGATATATGTCCAAAATGATTACACATTTTGATTTGGAAATTTTCAATGAAAATAAGATTTTTCTCTATCCGACAACAGAAAATGAGAAGGATTTTGGTTCAACAAAAGATTTCAAAAGCCATATATAACAATTTTCTACTGATTTGTAAAAAGAACAAAAAGAAGAATCTGATAATCTTGCTTACACTTCAATTATTTTACATCTGCCACATGCTGTTTTGAGAAAGTGGTAAACTTAAAACAAAGAAAGAACTTTGAAAAAAGTTGGAGAACTTGTATTTGCTTAAGTCTACTTCTAACAAACTTTACTTACTCGAAAGATTTTTCAGTTTTAAAATGAATCTTTCAAAAGATTTGGATGACAATTTGTATATTTTCAATAAACTTGTTCAAGATATTATTAACTATGATGAAACTGTGCCTGAAACCTATAAGACCATTATTTTGCTTAATTTCATGCCGACACGTATAAGAAGGTTAAGAATGCAATTAAGTATGGTAGAGGCTCTTTAACACCTAACATTGTCATTGATTCTCTTAGGAGTGAAGAGATGGAGATTAGAGTTGGTAAACAAGATAAGATGAGTAATGAGCTACACATAATATGATTGATATGTACATTTGCATGAATTTGAGAGTGGTCGCATTATTGTGTGTAATGTGTTGCATGTATGGTGTTTGGGATTTCTATTGTAAGGATTGATACCAAGTGTGTTTTCACTTTAGTATGTATATTAGCAATAAGTGTTTCTATTGGTAATTTTGGAGTATAGATGCTTGATGATACATTATGACATAAATGGGGATGTAGAGATGACATTTGGATCATGAAAAAAGAGGTGATCAAATGTTTGAAATCCTCTATTTGTTAAGAATTTTGATAGGGTGGAGTGTGAGCGACACTTCTATTATATACCTAGGTTGAGAGATGTGAGGTATTGATAGAGGAACATCATATGGACTCAGGATCTATTGTGATTTACTTGTTAGACACGAGGAGTGATCAATCTAATGAACATGATTAGCAAGTAGAGGAAATATGTGGTCTCGACATATGAGCTATACGGAATGGGATATGATAATTGTAGTGAGATCTTACTTTGGGATCATTCATGCATTAATTGCATATGTCAGCAATTTACTTGATTAACTGGGTGTTAGTCAAATGTTCTTTACATGTTAAAGATGTTGAAAAGATCTGTGTATTATCATATGTTGTATCTTCATAGCATGTTTTATATGTTCTTGATTTGTGAATATCTGTTTCTATTTGGGTTCTTGAAACTAACCCTTGGTGAGTACATGGAACGTGTATAATATTTGTTTCGGGTAGAGACATAGATAAGGTATGTGATTGCAATTTTATTTGGTTATCTTGATTAGACAAATATAAACTTGGTGTTATTTGCTTGTAAGTTTATTGGGTATTAATGTGGAGATTTGTTGGATTTTGATAC